TATAGTGGTAAGAAAACACACAATATCAATCTTAACTTTTATATACATGTATATGTACTAGTTTGAAACAGATAGATCTCATTTATCTCTCATACATCTAAAACATATATTAATTTGGATAAAACACTAGACACTGCTTGATTTTGTATTTAGTAACAAACATGGACTTTATAAATGTTACCAAAGTTTTAATTAAGTTGTTACAACAACATCGCCCATGGGACTTTTGCGTAAACATGTAACGTTCTAACGTTTTTCAAACTTTTTTTTTAATGTTTTTAATACAAAGTAATAACATTATGGTGTGAAATCTGCAACTTTTGTGTTGAATATTATTATCTGATATAGCCGCGGGACACATCTCGAGGCCGTGGGAGAGAGAAGTGAGTCGCTAGAACAAAACAAAATTGAACACAATTTACACAATAGTTTGCCTACATTATAATATAGAATCTCCTGCCAGTAAATGTACACATTGATGTGCTTTTAGAACGTTTAAGGACGTTTTCGGGAGTTTTCATAAAGGCAAAATTAAAACTGTTCAATAGCATTTCTTTAAACTTGGCATGTTGTTAGAATTCGATGAGCGAAAAAATATTGGGGTCACCGTTCTCGGTTTTTGAGTTATCTGCCCCTGAATCAGAATTTTCTACTTATTTGAGGTCATTTAAAGGGCAGATAATTTATACATACGTGAATGAATTCTTGTTTTAACTTCTGGATAATGTTTTTCTTTTTATTCTTGAATTAAAAACACAATCACACGCAATTTATTTTATTGTTTCTGTTTTTTTTTTCAATGAAAATAAAGGTACTTTAAATTCATAAAAAATAGGCCAATTACCCCATTTTTTTCGCTTAAAATGTTTCTGTCATCGAATTCTAACAACATGCCAAGTTTAAAGAAATTGTATTGAACAGTTTTCATTTTGCCTATATGTCTATATGAAAACTCCGGAAAACGTCTTTAAGGTACCCTTAATTAATACATGATTTAAACCAAGAATTTTCACGATTTCATGTAAATCGTCTGTGGTTCCTGTGTTTTTTTACATTTATTTTTTGGTTGTTTTAAGATTTGATATTGCAAAGTTTTAACGGACGAGTAATTATTGAATTCTCTTACAACAGTTCTAAATAGAGAGGAAAACCCCTGCAAACGTCAATTTGACGCAAAATTAAAGCTGGTTGAATGCTTAACACAAATAAGGAATTACGTTGCAAACAAACATGAATAGTCGCAAAGGAAGAACCTATCACATTCAGCAGAATAATATTTATTGAAACTAAGGTTTGTAAAATTCTTATTGCCCTTACATCACGCGTTACGAAGGGGTCCAAACTCTCAAAGCTTTGAAGGACGTATTCTGGAGTTTCATTGAAAACTGAACTAACTTTCTTAAGCTTTAAATTAAACACTGCAGTTTTAAGTATTGAAACGAACCCATGCTTTTGTAAAGTAATTTATTAAACATATTAAGCCATGTGTAATGGTTAATCCAACAACTAAGAGGTCGTGACCTTGTTGCTTTTTTATTTTTGAGTAACAGGTCGGCTTGACATACATGTAAAGCATTAATATCAAAAGGTAACCGAATATGTTGATATAATGCAAAGTGTTATGTAAAAGAAGTAAATACAGAGCTATAAATCTTTATTCATTCATTTTCCTGATGACATATGACGTATCATTCGTAAGTGACATAGAAAGACAGTAAAATGAAACTTCAAACTGTATACTAATTTTGCTTCAAATAATGGAAATACATGCATCAGTAATGCAAAAATGTGAAAAATAAAATTGCGATGTGGTGCAAATTCTTTCGCGCATCTTGAGGTTGAACACGCAATGCAAGACACTGATTGCCTAACTGTTGCCTTAATGCTAGTACAGTAGAATCCCTACTTAAGATCACCTCGGAATTAAGACCACCTAGCTATATAAGAACATTTTTATAAGAACGGAATTTTTCTGTTCTTTATGGCAGTGGTTGCATGATCCAGAATTAAGACCACCTCGCTTATCCATTTTTAAGACCACCAGATTCAGTCCCGATTCTTTGTTTTTTTCTCTTTATTTGACCCCACTAATGGCACTAACACCTACTTAGATCTTGTAGTTGCAAAATATGATACAACAGTGAGAGAATTTCACCTTCAAGCCTGAAATCTATTGTTATTATTATTACAGAATTGAGTCAACATCTGTTTTGGCGAATATGTACCATGCAAACCTTTCTTTATATAAATACATACCGAGTACTGGTCTGCTCGTATGAAACACAATTTTAAAGTATAGTTATCATAGTTATTGTTTTCTTTGATCCTATCCTAACTGTTGTGTTAATGGTTCGAACACTTGCTTACCTAAATAGTTAAGATTTTCTCAGTTCTTTACTGAATTTACAGATGCTGAGGGCATACCAGTAACATTTTACCTTCACAAAATAGATCAGTAACCTTGTATACGTCACGTGTTTATCTCATCATAATTAATTACCTACACTTGTAACAAGTACTGTGTACTAGTAACATGCATGTTAAACCACGCGGAAAATGAGTAGTGCAGAAGAAAAAATGTACTATATTCCTACATTTTCTGTGGCATATGAGATTCATTACCAAGCTTTTCAATGACCAATTAAAAGCAAAAGCGTCTTGTGACCTGGGTGCACGGAAACGTGTACACAAATATAATAACTTAAACCTAAATAAAAAAAATATGCATTTATTCACTGGATTTCCCAGAAAGGTCTCTTTATAATTCTAGACCCACATAAGGAAAAAAGACTCCTTTATGTGATTTTTTTATTCATATACATGTACATATCTGCATCCACTTCCTAAAAATTAACTATAACACACAGGAACTAACAGTGAAGTACTAACATTCTTGGAATACTTTTTATTGTTATTAACTTCAATTATCAAAATGTTCTTTGTTGTATGAAATCAGGTCCTTCACTAGATATATACTTATACGTTGCATTAATTGAAATGGTACCGTGGGTAGATAAAAGAATATGCTATGTTAGCGGTATGTAGTTTTTACGTTACGTTACAATACGTTAATGAAAATACTTATTTTGTATTTTGTTGATACTGATAACTAGAAGAGAGGAAAAAACAGGACACGAAATGATACTGCATGTATTATTATTATAATAAGCAGTACTCTTCATATTATTTTGATATAAATTGTTATTTTGTAATCGAATTTTACGGGTAAAGTACATTTCTATTTATATATTTTATATATTTTTATTATGTCTGTGACTATATTAATTCATATTTTAGACAGACGGTTTCGTGGTGTGACACAAAGATCTTATTAGATATAGAAACATTAATTAAATGTTGCCTTCAACACTTCTATGTAAGTAATCTACAAATTACCAATACATTAAACAATTTGATAGAAACTAGAACTCCGCGAGTCGGATGTGTCGCCTTGTGAACAATGTAGTTTAGGAGAAATGGCCAGGACAAAAATGAAATATGAAAAATAACAAAGGGCAATAACTAAAAAAATAATAAGTGCAGAGCAGCATATCTGTGCACTGCATTTCTTATCAATAAGATCTATCATTCTATGATGTTTCAAGTCCATAGCTTTCATACTTGAGGAGAAATGACCAGGACAAAAATAAAGTAAGAAAATCAACAAAGGGCAATAACTCAAAAAATAAGAAATGCAGAGTATCAGTTCTTATGCACTGCAATTTTTCTTAATGAGATCTTTCATCTTATGAAGTTTCAAGTCCATAACTTTTATACTTTCCGAGAAATGGCCTGGACAAAAATTAAGTATGAAAATCAACAAAGGGCCATAACTCAAATATTAAGAAATGCAGAGTACCGATTCTTGTGCACTGCACTTCTTCTTAATGAGATCTATCATCCTATGAAGTTTCAAGTCCATAGCTTTTATACTTAAGGAGAAATGGCCCGGACAAAATTAAAGTATGAAAATAAACAAAAGGCAATAACTCAAAAAATAAGAAATGCAGAGTACCTGTTCTTGTGCACTGCACTTCTTCTTAATGAGACCTATCATCCTATGAAGTTTCAAGTCCATGGCTTTTATACATTAGGAGAAATGGCCCGGACAAAAATAAAGTATGAAAATTAACAAAGGGCAATAACTCAAAAATTAGGAAGTGCAGAGTACTGGTTCTTGTGCACTGCACTTCTTCTAAATGAGATCTATCATCCTATGAAGTTTCAAGTCCATAGCTTTTTTAGTTTTAGAGAAATGGCCCGGACAAAATTAAAGTATGAAAATTAACAAAGGGCAATAACTCAAAAAATAAGAACTGCAGAGTACCGGTCCTTGTGCACTGCACTTCGGGTTATTGAAAGAAGCATGCATACCAAGTTTGAAGTCAATCAGACTTATAGTGACTGAGTTATGCTCCGGACAAGCTTTAGGGGACGCCGACGACGACGCCGACAACGACGCCGACAACGACGCCGACACAGACGCCGCCGACGCCGCCGACAAAAGTAACCCCTATATGTCGCCTTTTCAAGGCGACACAAAAAGTAAATTTGCTTGTGCCGTTGTGGAATACATTGATTACGAATTGGTCTAACTTTTTCTAAAACTAGCACAATTCTTGGGTCAGTATTCATATTTTTTTTCTGCATAAATCATTTCTGAACATTCTGTTATATATGAAATATGAGCCCCTTTCCCAATCAGTACAGCTACACTACTGCATCAATTAGTGCAGCTGTCAGCCGTATCGATCGATGCATGGGGAAACTAGGTCACAATTTTGAAAAGGTGTGTCTCATTACATCAATATTGATTGGTCAAAATTTCTACAGCACATCCAATGTACTGCAGCGTCCATTTTGACCTGAAGAGACCACGTGTCACGACGAATCAATACAATCAAAACATGCAGCAATAAATAACCGATTACATCATGTAATTTATGCTAAATATAACAATCAGAAGTGTAATTTGATAGTGATGGAAATTTAAATCTTACCTCAGCCATTTTGATGCCTTTTAATGCCCTTGAGAAGTTATAAATAGAAAACACACGCGGAAAAGACCTTCTCGCTTGTATGTATACACACAACACAAAATCTTGAATGGTTATTGGAGTTTTCAGTGTAGTATAGTAGTATTAAAGCATGGTTGAGTAGCCGAGGCTACACACAGGGTGAATATTGAAAAAAAAAACTATGTTGGAATAATCCGGGCTCTATTCTGACAGCGTAGCTTTAACATTTATAATTTAGATTAGATCTTCAAAATTGTTCATTTTTCGTTTTTATATAATTTACAGATAAATAAATTACCTTTTGATTCCGCGCAGAGCGGAAACAGTAAGTAGTTGATATTTAAAGATAATTCGGTTTCCCGTATTTGACTGGCAATTTGTTAAATTATTTCAATTTTAAAATGTTTAAATGGTCAAATAAAATGTTAAAACTTCCTGCACAGTTTGGGTGTCATAAAATTTACACAGAAAAAAACTTCCTTAATATATTCGACATTTAAATTTTAACATTCAAGTTAAGATAAAACTGTAATTCTACGCTGAAAATGTTAAATGTTATTTCAGTTTGATTCCTTTACTTTTGAATAAATCTTTAAGGCTGGCATAAAAAGGATTTTTGCAGTGAACCCAACAATAAAGAAATACATTGCAAGAATGGTTAAAATAAAAATAAAATTGATTTATCCCAAGAAAAATATTAATAATCATATAGGCATATATTATTCTGTTTCAGGAACAGTTTAAAACTGCACAGTTTTTAAAACATTGCTTATACTACACTATGAAACTAATCAAATGTATTAGATCTCTTAAATACTTGTACTTGTCATCTAAAGGAGTACAGAGTTAAATTGTAAAATAAAATAAATGATGAAGCAATTTTAAACATTATATAAATGAAATATCATCCATAAGCCTAAGCCAGAGTTTCACATAACTATTTATATTAAATACGGTAACCGGATGTTTCAGTTCCGGAAGGATTTAAGTATCTTTGTATCCTTGTGGAGACTGTCCGATAAAATTCATTCAAATATTTATAATGAAAGTTTTGTAACATTTTCTGAATATGAACAGTCTTGCTTAGTGTATAAATGATAAATTAAAACATTGGAAAATGTTCTGACTTTGAAATTAATTATGATGCCAGTTATAGTGAAATAAAATCTTATCCGAGCGCACGAACTTTTAGCCTTGCCTGATGTAATAGACAAAATAAAAACATTTAAAAGGTTAAGGGTCACTAGAATTTTGATAAATAGAAAAAGTGAACATATTCTTTATTTCTATTCATTTGTAAATTTCTAAAATGTTCTAATAGCCATAAAATAAGAAGAAATGCATAGATTCTACATAAACTGATGTATAAATTGACTCGAAAAAAGAAAAACAAATGACACCCCATATGCTCCTAAAATTTCATTCCATATAAAAATATGTGGAAAAAAAACAACAACAAGAAAACTAGTATCAAAAATTCCTTGAAACTCTCATGTAAAATGTTTTCTTTAATTAAAAAAGCTCTATATAATATGCTATGAAAAATAAACTTTAAATTTAAAATCTAATAAAATGATCAATGATCAACAATTCATTTCAATATATACATTCAACATTTCATTGCAACGTTTATTTTTTTTTCTAGTATAAAAATATATTCTTTAATCTAATAAACTAGTAAAATGACAAAAACTGTATTTACAAATGAAATACTGAATGATAAATTTCAACATCCTAAAGATATACATGTATATTATAACAAATAATGAATTGTAAACTTTAGACGTAGTTTTCCAACTAAAGTGACATTATGCTCATTTCTCGATCGTCAAGTTGAGCCGAATTAACGATATATTTTAAAAGATGGAGGTGATTGATGAACAGTCGATATTGGAAAATGTTTAGCATAAAATAAAAATGTGTCTAAAATGTTGAAAGAATGTCCCACTCTTTTTAATAAATTGAACCTTAAAGGCATATTTCGATGAATATTTACAGAAATTTCGTTGGGCCATGTAAGTTATTTATTGTTCATGCAAAGTGAATTATAAAATTGAAAGGAATTATGGAAAAATGTAAACATATTTTGACTTTCACCTGTTCACTCACTATATACTTTTGGATTTGGCATAATGTCACTTTAACCATACACAGCGGTATGGTTTTAATCTGAAACCATCATAAAAAGTATACAACTTGCATGGCATGGCATGGCATGACAAATTACAACATAGCATAAACAAAAATCCGTATTTGTATTTAAACACGAACAAATTTACTCTTGTCATTTTCATTACTTAAACAATAAGATACCTAGTTAAGCTACATAAGACAGTTTATAATGCAATGGTCAGTTTAAGGACACATACAGACATTGTGGTACACTGAGGGCCTTGACTAATCAGCATGCTATTTTTCTTTCATTTGACCAATCAATACAAACTAGCATTAGATAGGTTGTAAAAGAGTAACATTTTGTTAAGGGGCTCATCATGCCTTAAAAGATGGGCGTTTTGTTACAGCTCGTAGGTCATATAGCGAAACCATCTTTTGCCTTTTGATTTGATTCCCCTGATATAGTATCAAAACACCACTTTGTTTCATTTATGCTACATTTAAAGACAAACAAAGTATTGTTGTATGCGCGTGATTACCATCTAACATGCTGTACATAACTCAATTTCTAAAACATTATTAAACACATGTTTGTCTGTTATTCAGAGAAAAAGTCATCGTATTCGTTTGAATTTAAAGGCTTAATGTGGTTTTAATTGTTAATCATTTATAATCAGTAAATGTTTCTCTATCTACTGTTTTATTTCCTTGAAATTTAACATTTTTCTAAGAATGAAATACGTTTCAATGAAATAGCTTAAGAATTATTTCCAAGAAACCATGCCTTAAGTGTTCAATACATGTTTTAACTGACTAGTCCTCGCGTTTTTCCATTGGCTGCATCTCCTCTTCGTCTTCACTATATTGACGTTTTTTCTTTTCTCTACCGGAAGCTATGGCACGTGCGATTTCATCGAACGTCCTATTTTTGGTCTCCGGCACGTAGATGAATAAAAAGATGAACGAGGCGACCATGATGATGATGAATATAAGGTATGTGTAGGCGCCTATACTTTTCTGATAAAAGAGTAAACAGAAAATTGAATTAATTATGCAGCAAATCAAGCATGATATGAGCTAATCGATATTAATTACAGTCAAAAATGCGTATTTGAGTAACTCTTCATAAGAATTCAGTACGCGGACACGTTATTTCATGCCATGTTCTTAGACTTTCATTGCAACAGCCTCAGTTATACACTGTATTTGCAAAAGAGTTGTCGCTCTTTATTTAATTTTAGTCTTGATAGCGATATAACGAACGACAACTCCCAAATTGCGCTTTATACTTTGTTAAGACAGATTATTTTAAAGTTATTGACTGAATCAGAATTTATTTTCACTCCCATCAAAACTGACAAAATGATATTTGTTTTGTAAATAGTATGTTGTTGTTTTGCATGTACGAATCACGAGAAGGTAAACAAATACACCTCCTCAAACTATTTCGTGTGTCACCATCAAGTGTGTTATCAGATTTTTTAAAAAATATTTTGTTTTCACTAAAGTACTATATACTTAGACATATCTCAAGTTATTGCTTCCTGTATTAGTAACAAACTAGTAAACATCATTTATATGATTTCTTACGCAAGTATTTATTGACATATACTATAATTTTATCTCTGATGTAACAAAACTTTATCGACATCTGACATTGTTTTAAAGAAATCATTTGCGGGTGCTTCAATTATATGGTGATGGAATAACTTTATCAATCTATCTCACTCGACTTTTTATGTTAAAATCCCATCTGGACAAATCTTGAGAAGGGAAAGACCTGTCAAGCAAGTAAAAATGATATCTAGTCAGTTCTATCAATTTGACGAATGTTCACCACTTGGCCATTATTTATATGAGTTCGAATCTCGCCAGCATGGGTTGCAAAGGAGATAGCCATTCCATTAAAGCTCACGAAAAGTCAGATGTTGTAATCATGTGCCAATTCATCCCTACCTAAATACACACAGGTCTTAGATTTACCTCAACTTAACTAAATAACCTAGCTCCACACCCGATTAAAATCAACAACAAAAACAAAAACATAGATGATTACCTGAATAAACCTAAATGTTAATAACAGGATAAAATTACAAGTCCACTGGATTGCCATGGAGAGACTCATAGCCGCTGCACGTGGTTCTTGCCGGAATATCTCGGATACTATCGTATATGGAATAGGACCTGAAAATTACAGTTTTATTCATGCCATATATTTGTATGTATGCATTTAAATAAAAAAGAGATTATAAACAAATCATTTTGCCAGTGATAAGCGTTCATATAGATAAGTAGATGATGTAAAACATTTTTAACAATTTAAAGAATAGTGTCACATTCCATAACGTGTGTTGCTTGTAACAGAATTCAGAAATCAAAATTCTGAGAAGTTTGCATCCTGGTTCCGTTTCCTGTTCTCGGAAAAGAAGACATTGCTCTTATCTAGATATCTTACAATTTCTCCGAAATACATTGCCCGGAAAAGAATTATAATTATTTATGTTCTAAACAACACAGTCACTGTACAATATCTGTAGATACACTACGTACGAAGGATCTATGGGTAAGGGAGGTTAATCGTGACGTATTGATAAAAAAATAATGTGCTTGACTCTCAACCAAGGACAAGTGTGGTTAAGTCCTATACTGAGATCACGAGTTCGTGGTATCAGTATTGTTCAGTCTGCTCAATAACAAGGGGGCTCATAATGACTTCAAGTAATGACATATAACCTTGACTGTTTTTAATGGTAGATCTACATGATAATAATTTTGTATAAACTTGCAATTACGGTATAAATAAAGGATATTGCATAGTCCTGTCAAGACAGGAATAATGGGTTCGAGCCCTACCCTGGTCACTATCATGTTTCCACATATAACACCAGCACTGCTAAGCTCCAAGAAGCGGACTCGAAAGTGATTAATATATATTGCAAGAAATTATTACGCAATGATTCGAGCATAAATAAATAAGTTTAAATTAAATCAACGGTATAACTACTTACCAAGTCCCAACGCAAACCCGATGACAAATGTTAACATGGCAACAATAGAAATGATCGCAAGAGCGTTCTTCGATGACTGTAAATGAAAAAATAAAATAAAAAAGATAATAAATATACTGATACTAGAACATAGTTAAGTGATTTTCTTTTTTATCCTGTTAAAATTAGTCAAATGACTTGTAAAAATATTTGTCTTGTAACCATCTATCTCATTTTATCTATTTTAAATCTTACTTCTATAAAGTGTCGACGACAACAGTAGTTTTATGTACGCGTTGTTCATTATCAACAAGGCCGTAATTTATTTCTGACAGTTTTGGGATGTAATTAAACGAAAAGTAACATTAATTTTGCAGTGTATTTTATTATGCTTCATTATAAGACATATGCTTTCAGCACAACGCCACAGCACGCTTGTATTTACGAAGGTAAATGAAAAAATAAAAACAAAAAATTTAAGAGAACATGTTAGTTGGACTTTTAAACGTGCTATATTTCCTAACTGGGTATTGCATGCAGTCTGTTCAAAGTTGAAGGGGTCTCAAAAACAAACAAACATGAGTTGCCAGGTCAAACTGCACGGACATGCAGACTGGCCTGGCCATATACTGGTTCCAGCAGATTAAGGGTTAGATACATGAAATAACAAACCTCATATGCTGGGTCTTGTAGAAGATTGAGACATACAGTTAGTGCTATAAAAGATGCTATCATGCCACATAGCGGCCATATCAATAGTGGTCGCCGACCTAATTTCTCCATAAGCGGGACCTGGAAAACCAACATTAAGCATTTTAAGCACCCTGTAACCTAAATGATACATAAAAAGAGAATATATATTCAAGCATCTAAAATTCATTTATAAAAGCACCTAATTAACTTGATTGTAGGTTACTCTATGCCATTTCAACGCTTATTTGACATTGTGAAGACGCGGAACGAGCCGGTGTATGGCGACTTTTTACTAGCTTCTTACATAATTTATAGACAACGTGAAAAATCTTTTTTTTTCATTATGCAGTTGAAGTACAACATCTGCTTGATTGAGACGCTTGCCAGAGTAAAAAAACAAACAACATTACTTAATCAAGAAGAACATGAACGCATTCCATTGGGAGAAAAAATGGATTTTAGGTATACTTATTGTAGACATTTATTGTTTGTTAATTGTCTGGTTTCTATTGACCGGTTCCTTGCAGAAAACAGTATCGTAGATAACCATGATGTAAGAGGAATTAGTGTTTACAGAGCACTGCAGAAATATCATTAATAATTTAGTTACTTGGTTTCTGGTAATGGTTATCAGCTCTTATATATATTTATCAAACATTAAGGAAATGATTAACGGTTTTTTATCTTTAAAAACGTACTGTTTCATTTCAATGCAAAAGGAAATAAATATTCAACAAAAAACACACATCGATCTGGCAACTTATCCAAGGGAAATTACTTGACTAAATATAAATAAAATCTCATGACGAGTTAACTCCCTTGAACATGAACTTGAAACTGATCATAACACAATATATTGCAACTTACGCTAACTAAAGTTGACACGACATTCATGGCACCTTGACCCACAACAACATATGGTATGACACTGTCATCAACATTAGCTTGAGCATAAATAAAACTAGAGTATGCCATTGCCTGAAGTGGAATGTAAACATTATATCTATACATGACGTCATAATGGTAACAGCTTTTGTAAATGTTATTTGCTTAAGTTATTTGACCATTTTTTTTAAAAGCAGAACACAGAAAAAACCTTTGATGTAAAACGCGTCAAGTGTACTCAATAGGTAGTAAATCTAGTCTAAGAGACATACTTTTAAAAGTTTATAGGAATTTCTCTTACAGTTGTACTAAAAATATATAAAAAAATGTGATATACATGTAGTTAATTTGTCAGATTATTTTACAAGAAACTTGTGATTAAATCAATAAGATTTAAAACTTTTACCATTATGTTCTAGAAAAGTGGGGTATAGTGTAAGAAATATCACACAGCAATGAAGACCTCGTAACATTAAAGTGACATTCCAGTCAGCCCCAAACATTGAAAGGACTTTAGTCTTCGTACACTTGTAAGTAATGTGCAAGTGAGTAAGTACTCGTATATTGCTGAATTACTTTTACATATGGGCAAAATCAAACTAAACTATCAAAAACACACAAAACGAGTACACTTATCCGGATAAAGAACGGTCATACTTACAGCATTTATACCAGACCATTGTTGCGCTATCTGGACGACGATGGCTATAATTAATGGCAATTTTAACTCTGGTGTTACTAAAAGCTTCTTCATTGTAAATGTTTTTACCGACGACGCTTTCCTAGCCTCAACTTTCATGTCCTCTATCTCCTCTTCTATATGATCATAACTGCTACCACGAAGTTTTCTTAGGGCTGTAAAATAAACGACTTGCAAGTTCAGGCTATCATTAATTTATTGATTACAATCATAAGCAAACATACTGTCAACAAAGGGAAGAGCAACATGGAGAAGAACGAAAACTCAGGAATTTGTAATCTTACTTTATTTACATTACAATCTCTGTAGAGAGGCCTATTGTAGAGCATACATCTCTGAACAACATCATATTTTTGTCCCAAAAATTTAACACCTCTTAAAAGCAACAGAAATCTTTGTCTCCCAAAAGGTAGTTGCTTAACAGAGGTTGTACTGATTGTTTACAAAATCTTTATGAAGTCAATCGCTTGCCAGGAACATATTTCATTGCCAACTGGAACATGGCTCACATTTGCGTCACATTACACTTGTCTGTCTGATGACGTCTAATCCAGTTACCTCTCTGGCGTGGGTTCGATCCCCAGGAGATGCTTTGGTAGTTTAGCACGGAGGAAGGTAGTCTAGTACTGGTGTTACTCTCTAGGAACAATGGTTAGGAAACTACCCGCCTATATGACTGAAATACTGTTGGGAAAAGGCGTAAGATGAAACAAACAAACAAAACATACACTTGTCTGTAGCTATTATAGGAGAAATATTACCAACCTTTCCTTGCCCCATCCTCGTCATTTTTCTTGATCAACAAATATCTGGGACTCTCTGGACATAGTGGTAGAAAAATCAAGCACACTAGAGCAGGACCCGCGTTGAAAGCAAAAAGCGACGGCCAAGCGTCCCATGTACCTGGTAAATAAGAATACATGTAGTTGTTCAAATATCTTATATTCATGTACTTAGTGGGGCTAACTGCAGAATTGTATTAACAAATACTGCAAAGTCATTAATCGCACAAAACATGTAAATTATTACTTTAATCTTGAATCTTTTTAACTTCTCTTAAAATCTAAGAACATTACCTAATTTTTATTTTCTTGGAATTATTTTGGCGCATCTAGAGGCATGCAGCTTTAAAAGAGTAAAAAAACAATTATCAAACAAATATCAATCCAGCTAATAACTCGTATATAAAACATAAGAATGTTTTTTCCAGATAATTTTATCTTAAAATATGAGCAAGAGGTTAAGCGCGAAGGAGATTTTTTTTTAAAAACATATCGCAAATTTTACAAACCAGCTAATTTTGGAAGACCCAAAACCATTGACCATAGTATACCCATAGTGACAAAAAGTTGATGACACGTGCCGACCGCTCCTCGGATCTTCTTTGGTGATATTTCAGCCAAGTACAGGGATGCCAAACTTATACCCATTCCTGTATTAGAAAATGTAGAATTGAACATACTGAAGACAGAACTTTCTATGTATTTACATAACATTGCCCGTTTGTAAATTATGCGAGTTGCGAGTGATGTTTGTAATCTGTAAATTCCTTCCTTTTTTGCTACTTCACAATATTTTACTTTATAATACATTTTCATTTTTTTCATGAAAATAAGCATAAGTCTGGAGGCGTGCTGCTTTAAAGGGTAGAATGGTAGAAGGTAGAAACTATCATTTTCCCCGATTACCTGAAGTATGAACGTCAATTTAATAAATACATTTATTAATAAATTTTAAGTTACCATTGTTCTTAACAGAAACTTTTCAGATACGGTCCTACCGTTTTCATATTAAAGGAACTCCACAGAGGTGCAAAAACTTAAACAATTGAATTTCAGTTGAGGCAATTAAAACAGAAATATATTAAAGATGGTAAAGAAATATACCCAGAAACAAATGGAAAATTGTATTTTATGTGCTATTCTAAGCCTGATTTGTGAGAAAAACGTTGTAACGCTTTTCAATTTTTGGTCAATTTTTACAATTATAATAAATATTTAGGAGAAGGAACGGAGTGAGTAACTGATCTGAAATTTTGGACACTAGTTATTAGTCTGGACCTTCGTCAAATGGAACATTAATCACGAAAAATTATTTCCATTTCCGTTATGGAACGTCATGTCAAAAAACCTCAGTGGAGTCCTTTTCAGTATCCTGTCTATGTTAGTGATATAGGCAACATTGTTACTGTACTTAATAATGTTGAAGATATTATATTAAAATCAAGCAAATGCTCTTCCTTTCTGGTAGTTATTTTACCTGTGTGAAGCCCGACGAAAATTCTTGATACCATGACACATTCAGGTGATTTTGCTACTGTCGGTATACCGCCAAATATTCCCGCCAAAAACATGAGAAATGTGATTAAAACCATGCCTTTCTTTCTGTAAGTAATAAAACCAAATGTGTAACGCTAAAAGGGAGGTAACTTCAACACACACAAATAGCTATTTGTTACTAATTATTAGCTCCCTTAGTGATTCGTTCAGTAGCTCGGTGGAATCTCAAGAAAAAGGATTATCCAATGATCGAGCTGAAATCTGAGTGGCACGAATAACAGCTGGATAGTTTCATAATCATAGGCAAGTCGACTCTTAGAAAACGAGGCAAATTCGTTAACATCTGAAAGCATTCTTTAGCCCACATGTGCTTTCCTATATCAAAATTACCATTAAATATTCACACACATGTCTGATAAAATTGTTTATCATTACAAACGAAAAAATAGGTGATTAAGTACTGAAGTATACGTTCTGAAGTCGTGACATTTTTTTTATTTGTTGAATCATTACTAAAGGATGATTAAGATTATACCTGCCAAATTTATCAGCTATTTTACCAGATGTGAATGCACCAATCATTCCAAAGAAAACGAAAAAAGCGACAGTGATTGACCAGAGTATCTCAATGACATTGTCCGCCTCGATCTCTGTAAAAAATATCCTATATTATATTCAGGTTTTAAATCATATCGACATGGTAAGTTTGGTCGTATACAAAAGGAAGTGCAGAGTACCCTTCGCTTGTTATTTGCAACAAAAGCATTATGACATTTGGTTATTTGATTATATTGAGAGCGATTACTTAAACTATATCTTAAAAAACCAATTTAGCCTCCAAAATGCTATTTTTTTTTATTCTCAAAAAGCAATTTATGTTTATCACTTTGTAACAGTTTCCAAAAATACGCATGTGCCATATAGATAAACTATCTTTGCTTCTTTTACTCTGTTTGCAATTGTTATAATCAAAGTTAATTAGTATTTTGTATGGAAGTCTACATTCTGCCTTATTTACATTTTGCTACTTTAACGACACATTCAGAGCTACTTTATCCATCTATTAACACTAAGTTTTACAAGCTCTTAATCTATTATTAAAACATTATTGACATTTCTAAAGAATTCAAAAGATATGAATTTCTGAGGCATAGTGTGCCTTTAAAAGACAATGTGATGAGTATTGTTATTTGAATACAATCATCGCTATATCCTTTATATTTAGTTATGTAATATTTTGAATAAACTCAAGTTGAAAACTATCGTACCAGCCTCTGTTCTAGCTATAAAAGGGTTACGAAATGTCTCTGTGCCATTGGAACCATCAGCTGGTTCCGGTTGTGCCATTGGTTCCGCTACTGTTTGAGCGTTACCTAGCGGTTCAGCAGTGGATGACATGGAATAGTTGCCCGGAAGTGAAGTAAAATATAAATTTCTGTCTGCAGGATTGTAATATGTAAATATTCCATCACGTTCGAGATAGGTCATCTTGTAAAAGGCTTTGATCAACTGAAACATAATCCGAGCAATTTTTTATATATAGGCCTGCTTTGAGCATTTCTATTTCTGTCTAAAAATAGTTCGGGGGAGTGAAACATGATACCGGAAATATCTAAAGTGTATGACTTAAATTACTCAAGCAATTGACGCATATTGCACTGTGTTATTACAATAATTTCCTAAAGAGTCATGTTCATATGACATTAAACAACAGATATTGTATAAAGTTTACTATGCAACCAATAATATTAATGTATCAAACATCTAGTAGAAATTTCTTTAAAGCTGAAATTACTGTTTAACCAAAAATTCACATGATTATGAGATATTTCCTGTCAGATTATTTTCACATCTGCAAGACACATATAGATTATCAGTTTGAATTTCCATTATTGTATACTATAAAAATTGTACTGTATATAAGTGATTTACCCTTGCCGGAGAATTGACAACCCCTATATTATAACCATACAGGAAGGAGTTACCAAACACGCTTATTGTAATACTAAGGAACAACCACCATGTCATCGTAGCACCCCCTTCCGTCTGAAATACAAAAATAAAATGACAAGATTTTATGTCACTCATGGGCACTGTACAGTTTAAAAAAGGCTTATGAATAGCATAATGAATTTACCATAAAAATGTTGACATGCTTGTATCATTAGCATTTCAATATTTCAATAAATAAATAAATGAATAAATGAATAAATAAATGAATGAATAAATAAATAAATAATTAAATAAATAAAAGAAAAACACACATCCGATCTGAACCACATATCGGCGAAGAGTTACTTTAGTTTACTACAAACCGTAAGTTATTGATACTTGCTTTGAGATCGATTTCCCGAAGTGCCAAATAGTTAACTATCCATTTAGCGGAAAGGAAAAGAAATAGTTATTTTTTCTTATAAAAGTAACAAAAAGATTCTTCATTTTCAAGTATCAAAATATCTTTATTATATATCTAATTGATCAAACGTAAAACTTACATCCCCCATTTTGTAATGCTTTGATGGTAATATTCAGGTTATATTTTCAAATATTTAGGACCAGTCTGAGCCGACACGGAACTACTTTCAGAAGAAATCGTATCACTCTGTCATACAGCCCTCTTTCTATCGGTTGACAGTCCTTTTCTGCTGATTCCTGAAAGCAAAAGATATTGGCCATTTAATCAACTAAAATGTCGTCTGTTAACCCGGTCATCTACCGAGAGAACTACGAACGTGTTCAATAATGTCATAATAATTGCAAATGAGAAGAAAAAACAAGAAAGACTAATAAACAGGACCAGAATTTCTTTCAGGATTTGTTCCGATTCAGGAAAAAATGCTTTTAAACGATTGATTCGGGATTGTCCTTTTTATATGTATCATAACTTATTTTTTTTGGAAAAGTCAGTTCTTATCCCGAACCAATGAAAGCAAATATGATTCATAACATTTTGATTTATTGAACATTATATATAATATTATTTCTTGGGTGCCTATAACAAAAGCCCTTCACATATTAAATATCACTTGCATCAAGCACGTGTTGTTTTTAATTGAATAACACGTGATTTTTTCGATCACTCATACGATGATATTATGCCATATATCTGTAAAAAACACGTCTCTACACGCCACCGTAATAATGTTCAATTTATATGTCAGTTAAGTTATTCACCGTCATTTGTCTATTTACGTTTACAGTTTGGGTTGAACTATAATCAAGTATTTCATTAGTTTAATTAGCTAAATTCTATTAATGACTGCGACTGTGACCGATCGGGAATTATATTCAATTTAAATTCACAGCTGTAGAACAGTAGAAATTTTATTTTAATGCGCTCCTTTTTCAAGTTAAGTATCAGACTGTGACGAACTTCACTTTAAAACAACAACAACGCAACCACCAAACCACCACCATCATCATCATCATCAACACCACCACCAACAACAACAGAAACAACAACAACAACAACAACAACACATGTGTCGTCTCATGAGCCATTTAAGCAGTTTTATCACACACCCGTGCCGATTTTCAACTCCGTAAAAATGGTATTGCACGGTCGTGCATATATTTTGACGTGACATCATAAGCGTTATACAAACATAGTGTAAACACGCGCTAAATGTTAGCGATATACTATAGGCGCGTCAGTGAAAAATGACTCTTTTTCACTTTAAACGGTCTTTATTTTGGGTGTGATAAATATAATATTAAATTCGTGTAAGTTCATAACTGAATTTATTGAACTCGCTGAATAAAATAATATTATGCTCGCCAGAGGCTCGCAGAATATAATTTCATTCAACCCGTGCAATAAATTCAGTACTGAACTTACACTCATTCAATATCCTCTATGTATTGACGGATTATTCGACAGTTTAAAGATCATTGAATAAAAAAACCGATAAAATATGCGCAAGTACCTGAGGAACCGACAGCTCCTGTAACATTTCATTCAAATTGTGTTAGAAGTATAAGAGAAGAAGCCCGGACAAAACTTAGAAATCATTAACTGGACAAATTTGACAAAACAATTGAAACTGAAAACTGTGGACGATATGCACAAGTGGACTTCCTGTAAAGTTTGGATGGAATTGCACCAGTTATGTTTGTCAAACCACTTAATAAGGACTAAGAAAAGCTGAATTTGGAATGAGGAGTATCGACAACGGCATTACTTATCAGGCTTTGAAACCCCTTACTAGGAATTAGACAAATTCCAATGAGATTTAGTCAGTAAGAAAAGCCCAATTAGGATTTTCAAATTCCTTATCAGGTGTAAGAAAAACCTAAATAGGATTTTTCAAAACATAGAAGTACATTGTATTTTATATTTTACTTGTTTTGAGTTTAAAAAAAAACATTTTCAGGAACGAACAAAAAGTCATAGGTTTTCTTTTTCTCCTAATTAGCCTTTACTCAATTCCTATTAAGAATTATGAAAGTCCTAACAAGGAGTTGATTAGTCTCGTTAGGTTTTTATGTTTCAACATTCAGATTTTATCAATCCAAACTATGACTTTTAATGTCCTTAATAACCGTTTAATTCCTTATTAAGATAAAGTTTTTACAGAACATAAAGATTCGGCACAAGTTCGCCTTTGCACATAACAGACAGCGTTTCATCTATAAATAAATTTTGTTATCAATGAATCCTTCCTCGTTGAGTTAAAACTTGATTTGATTCCGCCCTACTCATGCCTATTATCAGCACATATGTCGACTAAGTCTCAATTAGTAAACAAATACGGTATACTTAAGGGGTGACCATTTAACTTATCTTGTAAACATTTGACCCTTTAGTCAATGAAATTTACATATACAAATACCTCAAGTGCGATTTTATCATCATATATAGTATGAAAGGTTTCAGTCTATGAAATGTTTATAAATAATATTTTTCAGATGCCACCAAGTGCAGCTTTAACTTCATTTAGTAGAGAATCATTAAAAAATGGTTTTAGTTCATTATTTAAATCTAAATGAAGACTAAAACGTATACAATTTAGTAAAGTTACAACATAATAATACAGTCGATATAGCAATTGTGGCCTTTAATCTAGGAGCAAATTACTTATGTGCATTAAAAGAGCCCTGGCTTTATCAACTAACATGTTTCTGATAAGGAGCCAAAATCACATTTTCAAGTCTTTGTCAGTTTCTGGTGGCATTCGTCCACAAATGCCTGTCGAAGGAGAACTCAAAAACAAAGACAAAATCTGCCGTATATAATTTCTGTCACAAAAACAGTCTATTTCGACTACGAGAAAAAACAAAACAGCGAATGTTTATGAAGAAAGTAATCTTCAAACTAAAAAGAACTATATTAGAACCTTAAATAATGTAACACAAGCGCAGCTTAGATCATATTATGCCAATATGACAGAAAAGTTACTAATTTAATTACAGTAATGCCACCCTGTGACCATGGTTACGTTAGGATGATGAAAACAAAACTGAAAAGTGTTAAGCACCTTTTATATGGAAAGTTAGTACATGTAAATGCATTAGGCTCGTTCAAATTAGTTCATTTTTTTTCTTTTAATAAAACACAAAATCATATGGGGACGTGCTGCCTCTAATGATAAATGTTACATGCTTCGTTTTATTTTTGTTTTGTTTGACTTTACAGCGCACCAACACAATTAAGGGCATATGGTGCCGAAACAGGAAAGATGATTTTGCTAACCTCGGGTGTTGTAACAAACTTATAGCAACACAAAGGGTCAAAACCATCTCACTTGCTGGAGCATATATGCATAGTCTCTAAGAATTCGAACACATTTAGTGGCCTCTGTTGATTACGCAAGGTTAAACGGTGGCTGCAATTCTGATGTCTCAACCCATAAAAGGATAAAAGGCAAACCCTTTATACTTCGAAACAGTGCATTAGTACCGATATATTGTACTCATATTGTATACTTACATTGAACTACTATAACAGCAGATGCTCTAACAGTGTCATCGTTGACACGGGGACAGTTTGTCGCAATTTATTTACACTAAATAATCAGAGTAAATACTGTTTATGCACTTGTTATAGTAATCAGATATCATTACGTTATTACTATACTATATTTGATATCACTGGGATTAGATTTCTCACGGTCAGTATGCCTCTACGGTCAGTATTTCAGACATGAATATTGATCGTAACATTTTTGACTTTCTTTATTCTCTTTCAGATGTGAACTTCTTACTTTTCTGTAAGGTTTATGTCTTCATACGAGGTATGATCAAAAAGTTCTTGACCCGATATACTTCTAGCCACTACACTGACATTAACACACAATATATGTACGTCGATACCAATATCTTATTGAAGATTACTGACCGAGTTACTCGCAATTTTACACAGATTAAATAACATAAAAACACTTTGATCAGTAGAGGGGTGTGTCATTCAGACCAAATGGAGAAAGTTAAAATCAGAGCAGTCATTAAGTACCTATGTAAGAAAGGGATGTTCCCCAAGGAAATCCATGAAGACTTCATGGATACATTTGGGAAGGAGTCCCTTCCCCTTTAGCACTGTACTGTGAAAATTGGGTTGCTGGGGAGAGCAATGGAGATGATGAGCGGCCTGGGCGGCCAAAAGAGGTCACCAACAATGAAACTACTACGATCTGGCCATGTGTGACAGAAGGCGAGACCTACGAAGCATTGCTAGGTATAAGCTTTGGTTCAGTTCAGGCAATTCTAACAAATGTCTATGGCATGTCAAAGGTTTCCGCTAGATGGGTCCCCAGACTGACGACTAGAAACGGACCAGGCTTGACATTTCAAGATATATTTTGTCTCGCTTCGAGGATAAACATGATTTTATCTACCGGATCGTAACTCAGGATGAAACATGGGTCCATCACTTCGATCCAGAATCCAAAAAAACCCCAACAAACAGAACATGCAGTGGAAGCACACTGGCTCACTCCGTCGAAGAAATTCAAAGGGGTGCCATTAGCATGGAAGATAATGGCTTCAAATTTTGGGATAGTCAGGGGATAATGTTGATTGACTATCGTGAGCAAGGTCGTACCATAAACGGTACGTGCTATGCAGACGAATTGGGACGTCTGCGTCAAGAAATCGCGCGTAAAAGGAGAGGCAACTTGACTCAAGGCGTTCTGCTGCTGCACGACAGTGCGCCAGCTGACACATCCCAAGTTGCGATTGCTGCTGAAACTGATTGTGGCTTTTAAATTTTTTCCCCATCACTATTCTCCGGACTTGACTACCTCTGACTTCTACCTGTTTCCGAAACTGAAAACCAAGCCTTGTGGTAAACGTTTTGGAAGCAATGAAGGTGTCATTGATGCGGTACAGAGTTCTTTAAGACAAAATAAGAAATTCCTTTTGAAGGGTTTAATACAAGTTGTGAGCACAGGTGGGCAAAGTGCATTGATAAGAGGCGATAATATTGAAAAGCTAAGACCATTATTGGATTCTCTGATAACCGGTACATGGGCCAATACTTTTTTTGTCAGTTCTCGTCACACAGCTTTAGGGTAAAATGACTATTTTGCACTACATTGTGGTAGGCATATTTTATTTAATGTAATTGAAAAATAACAAAGCACGCGAATTAAAAGAACAATGCGTGCAAGTTTGGGTGCGCATGCGCGAAATGTGATAGTTAGATTAAGGTGAGT